CGCCACGAGCACTCGTCGCCCGCCGCGCGGCACAGCTCGCCCACGCGCGCCCAGACCGATATCACCTCGCTCCGCGAATGCGTCCGCGACGTCGTCGTCGGCTGCTGCTCCCCCGCCGGCGCCCCCTGCGCCATCCCCGAGCTCGTGTCCGCGCCGAGGATCTGCACGAGGAGCAGCTTCGTGAGCCAGTGCGGCGCGCCGGCGCTCCCAAACAGCGGCGCGCACGCGCCGCCCGCGCTGGGGTCGACGAACGCCGCGGTCGGGTTGTCCGGCGCCTGCTCGAGCACGGCGCGGTGGAAGAGCGTGAGGCTGCGCGCGACGACGTGCGGGTCGAGCGCGAGGAGCACGTCGCGCGAGAGCCCCTCCGCCTCGAGCGCGGCCCACGGCATGCGCGCCGCGAGCCCCCCGCGCGGCTGCTGCGGCGAGCGCGGCGACGGCGGCGCGAGCGTCTCGTGCCCGCCCAGCGCATCCAGCAGCCCGACCATGCGCGCGCCGCCGCCGTCCGGCCGCGGCGAGAACGTGCTGGCGCCGAGGACGGGCGACGGCGCGTACATCGCCTGCGTGGAGGCGCTCGCGGGCATGCCGCTGGTGGCGGGCTGCGGCACGGGGAAGAACACGTCCGGGATCGCCTCCGCTCTGAAGTCCTCCCAGGCGTCGGGGTCCGCGGGCGCGCCGTGGAGGCGCAGGTACTCGCCCGCCATCCACGCCACGCGCGCGCGCACGCGGCCGAGCTCCTCCGGGGGGGACCCAGCGACGAGGTACCCGGCGCAGCGCACGAGCTCCGCCTCGACGCGCGCGCGGCCGACGAGCAGCGGCACGCACAGCAGCACCGCGAGCGCGTAGTCGCGCCACTCTTCCTCCTGCCTCGCAGCTTCCTCCGGCTCGGACGGCGTCTGCAGAAAGACCGTCGCGAACACGAGCTCGTGCACGAGCGCGTCCACCGTCCCCTTTTCTATCCGCCCCCGCGGCGCCGCGGGGCCCTCCGCGCTGACCACGCCGCCGAGCGCAAACGCCCCCGCGCCCTTGACGCCGAGCGCAGGGTGCCGCCCCCTTCCCCAATACGCGCGCTTCTTCCGCCCCACGCTCGCCGGCTCCCGCCTCTGCCCCCCGCCCCCGCCCATCCCCATCCCTACCCCCTCCTCCTCCCGCCCCCGCTCCTCCTCCTCCTCCCCGTCCTCGACGACCCCGACCGCAAACAGCTCCCGCACGCCCGCCGCGCGGTCGCCCGGCGGCTTGTGCAGCACGAGCTTCGTCCCGCGCACCTCCATCTTGAACGCCTTCCACGCGCGCGGGTCCGCGAGCGCGGGCGTCACGAGCCGGTTCACGAAGCCCGCCGCGTACACGATCTGCGACGCGCGCTTGCCGTCCTGCGCGGACGCGGACACGGGCGCGTGCAGCTGCAGCGCGCTCGCGGGCTCGTGCGCGGGGGACGCGGGCTCGAGGATGATGTGCGGCGGCGCGAGCAGCGGCGCGTCGAGCGGGCCCGGCGCGGGCGGGAGGGGCTTCGACTGGGCCGCGGCTGGGGGCGTGGACGTCAGTATGGTACGTATGCGAGCGGAGAGGACGAGGGAAGACGGACCTCCGCCGAAGTTGAACGGGAAGACGACGCCGCGCTTCTCCTTGCCCTCCGCCGGCTCGAGCTCCCCCGCGCTGCCCTTCCGCCCCGGGCTCAGCCCCGCGAGGCGGCTCGACAGCTTCGGCGTGAAGCTGTGCGAGCGCGTGTGTACGTGTCCCGCTGCGTTGCCTTTAATTCGAAGTGAAGGATCCAGAAAGGAGAATGAGCAAAGGATTCGTCAGTAAGTGATAGAAGAAACGAAAACGAACGCACCATTCAGCCCCCCACCCGCCACCGCGAGCCCATTCAGCCCCCCGCTCGCCCCGCCAAACCCATGCGCGCCGCCATCCACCAGCATCGGCGCCGATATCGATATCGACACGGGCGACCCCCCGCCGTCCCTCTCCCGCCCACCATTAACCCCATTCCCATTCCCATTCACACTCCCCTCCCGCGTCGGAATAACCGGCCACGCCATCCCCGCGCCCCCTCCGCCCCGCGCACTCGGCGGCGTCGACCCCGGGCTCGCCTCCCCGCTCCGCGCACTCCTCGCACTCCGCGCACTCCCGCTCCGCTCCGAATCCGTCCGCCGCCGCGCATAGAACGGGCTCGGCGCGTCGATCGGCGCGGACATCCCCAGCGGGCCCGCGCTCGCCGCGCTGCCGCTCCCCCCGCTCAGCGGCGTATACGCCGCGCCCCCCGTCGGCGTCTGCGCGCCCCCGGGCTGCGCCGTGCTCGGCGTGCCCGGCCCCACCGAGTCCGCGCGCCCGCGGTACGCCGCGACCTTGTCGACGAAGCTCAGCTGCGTGTCCACGCGGATGTGCTGCCGCTCGCCCCCAGAGGAGTGCGCGGGCGACGGCGGCGCGACCGCGCGCAGGTCGTCCGCGCTCTTGGACCACGCGCGGCGCGACGTCGTGCGCAGGTCGCCGCTGCCGCTGCCGTAGATGCTCTGCCCCTGCCCCTGGGCGAGCGGGGACGAGCCCGAGTGCGGGAGGGGCGAGTGCGCGGTGGGCGAGCCGGGGGGCGCATAGCGCAGGTCGAGGGAGGATTTCGCGTTGGTGAGCGAGGAGGCGGAGAGGGAGAGGGAGGGGCGGGAGAGGTCGAGGACGGAGCTGGAATGTAGGTCGTTAGTTAGTTCGAGATAAGAAAGAGAAAGTAAGGGAAGGAAAGAGATGAATAAGTAGATGCGTTCGGGGGGTGGAATGAAGACGCGAAGCAAAGCTCCGGGACACGATGGGACGCGGAGCACCCAGACCCGAGCATGCAACGCGCAAGATGCGACACACGGGTTTCGAGGCCGTGCACAAACGCGCCGCAGCAGACAGCTGTGCCTGTTATCAGCCGAAGAGAAGCAGGGATGCCCTCGCATCGAGATGCTAGAAGCGCGTGCGCACGCCAGCGCGAGATGAGATGCTAGAAGACAGCCAGCGCACAAGTTCCCCAAAGAAAATGAGACAAAGACCATCTCCGAGCCAGATGAATGAGTGACGTGCCGGAGATTAACGCGAAATGAAAGCCGGCGCAGGATGCAGAGAAACCAATGAAGACCCCGAGAAAAGCGCACGAAATTGGACGAGGTCGAGGAATCCTGTGTCCCAACTCCGCACCCAGAAAAATCCCCAAAAATCCAATAAATCCAAATCAACGTGGCCCGCACGCACAGAACGCCAGCGAATCGAACGAAAAGGTAGCCATAACTCACCGACTGCCAGGAACGCCCTTGTACCCCTCGACATCCAAAATGGGACGCGGGTCCGTGGGGCGCGAGATCTTGGGCTTACGGGTGGAGGGCGTGACGCTCGAGGTGCTCGCGCGGGGAGATTCGTCCCCGGACGGCACGAGCCCGACGCGCGGCGCGCTGGTGCTGCGCGCGAACCACTTGCTCGGCCTTGCGAGGAACTGGGCGAGCGGGGCGCGTGCGGGGGTCGCCGGCGGCTGCAGCGTCGCCGACGCCGACGCCGACGCCGACGCAGATGGCGAGGGGTCCGGACGCCGCGGCATCAGTTAGTGGTGTGTTTCTGCAGAGGAAATTGCTCGTTTTTTTCGGGGTTTGCGGGCGTCCTTTGGGTTCTGGGTTAGGGTTAGTTATGTTTCCAGTAGAACAAGGAGGAAATACCGGTTAGATTACGGGCATGAAGTGTCGTGGATGGTGGAGCAGGAGAGGACGTCGTTCCCGTTTGGTGCGGTTTGTTTACGCGTCGGGTGGCGGAGATTTAATTTAATTAGGTAATCATTTCGATTCTTGTTCCAAGTTTATTTGTTCTTTCTCTCCCCAACACAACATTCTCCTTGCACCAACCACCCTCGCGTTTCTCTGCAGGCAAATCGTATCGTACGACATCCCGGGGCTAAAATTCACTTCCTCTCTCGCCGGGCTGATCCCAACATTCGCGTGTCGCAAATCTCTGATAATCAACGCACCTCGCTTTGACACGTCTCGTCACCCCCGGAGATCGCACCTCCGTGTCTGTCCGTGTGTCGTGCCCCAGTTCTCAGGACGGGTTCGACACGCCATTTGGCATATATGCGGCCGCAGTCCTTACGGCGCGATATCCGCTGAGTGTTTTTCGCCACTCAAGCGTTCAACGGTACCCGAGATCGGTGCGAGACATCGGTCGTAGCCTGTCGCCAGCATTCTTATCTATCTCCCTCGACCTTGGACGTTTCAAATAGAAACCTCAAAATAAATCCTTCGGCTCTAAACCGCCGCCGGCGCATCATCTGACAGGACTGGGCGCTGTCAGGTGTCGGTCAGATCATAGAATGCGCTTGGACCGGTACCGCCGGCCATCAAACGCGTGAAACACTCTTATCCTCAAGCGCAGCCTTGGAATCAACCTCGAATTAAGGCTCTTCTCGGTACCTTGAGCTTCATGTACCTCCGGCATCTAACCTAAACTACATAAGCTCTCAATCTTATCCGCTACCCCCACACCCCAAACCACTTGCACCCCCAAACCACTTGCACCCCCGATTCAATTGGGCTTACCAGCCGGCTTACCGTGACTAGCCTCGGACGCCGCCGAGATTCCGATCTCTGGCTAGTCACTAGGACTCGGTCATCATTGATAGGCTCCCGGCGCCGGCGCCCGCCGCCTCTAGAGTATCCCAATCAGCTGCTGCTGCTCCCGTGATGCTAAGCACGGAGCCATCTCCGCGCGTGGAGGTGAGTCGAAACGCCGTCCCCTTTCCCCGAATATCGCTAACCCCATTTTGCCACATTCATTTCCGACTTCCGACCTCACTATTTCTGATATCCGACCTCAAGGATATCTACTCGAAATCCCATTCTCTTCCAGGAGCACGAGTTACATCTATCTATTAATGTGGGATACGATCGACGCCGTCCCGTCTATCCGTGCCCTCATCTCTCTCACCTCTGCTCATCAACTCAAATTTCCGCACGCAAATGCCCACCTATCGAGGCTGCGACGTCCCCAGGGAAGTCTTCGTAGAGTACGAACTCGCTCCCATCCAATAAAATGGAGAACTGATGATTTATGGGAGGGTTGGTGGTTCGAATCCACCCGAAGACATCATTGATCTAATTGATAGATTTTTCCCCTTTTTTCCCCTCCAGATCAAAGACGATTTTGGGGGCATAAGGGCTGACAAGGGAGCAGGAAGGTCTTACGAACTCACTCCCTTCAAATGCGTCGCGCAAGAGCTTTACTGGGAGAGCCAAAAGACGTGAGTTCTTGTGCGACCACTTTTATTCTCAGCCACATTTTTTCGCAGGTTTATCCAGGATAACGAGGGAATCATTAAGTCTTCATGGAGTATGAATTCGTTCCCCTCAACTCTCCGGGAAATACGAAATCTTTGGGAGAATCGGTGGTTCAACTCCACCCGAAGACACTGGGGACGCCTCGATCGCCATCTTTTCCTCCCGCTAAAGATGTTTGCAGGCATAGGCATGTCGACGAGAAACAGGGAAGTCTTCGTGGAGTACGAATTCACTCTCATGCAATAAATCTTCGAGGATCGGTTGTTGGGAAGGTCGGTGGTTCGAATCCACCCGAAGACATACGTCATTCATCTCCTCACTTTTTTCCCTCCCAATTCCAACAAATCTTCAAGTTATTCGGCTTGGCAAGCGTACAGGGAAGTCTTCGCAGAGCACGAAGTGACTCCCAAACAGTATCTCTTCGTATATCTCTAGAGTAGTCGTTGGTTTGAATCCACCCGAAGACGTGGCATGGTCGTGTGGGTCTTTTCCTCTCGACTCAAAGATATTTCTCAGGATTAAGCAGGTTACGTAAAAAGGGGATAGGAAAGTCTTCGTAGAGTGCGAACTCATTCCCATCATATACCGATCCTGAAGCTCCGATTGGGAGACCCGGTGGTTTCGATCCACCCGAAGACATGAGTCACATAGCATCCCCCAGGCCAAACTACCAAGGACTTGCGCGTACCAAGATCAGTGGCATCCATGGTTGAATTCCTGAAAGGAATTCGCATTCTGTGAGATTCACACGGCCTTGATTTTCCGCGCAGGGTGCGCCGTCGAGGACGAGTTCAAATAGTTCAACGAAGGAACACCCCGCAAGAATCAGAATCCGAAGGTCACATTTCCTGTCCATACACGGCCTTTATTTTCTTCACGGTACTGGTGGTTTTGCATTCGATCCGGCACACTTCAGTACATGCTGTTGCGCGGAAAAATGAATGTCACGAAAAAGAGGGTTGTAAACAAAGATAGTAGCGTACATCCGCGTGCATGTTCCATCCGGCACGAATGTCGAGTAGCAGCATTCAAACAACATTTGCGCCAGCCTTTTCCCAGTCCATGCCCACACTCGGCACCTCAAGCTCCGTAACATGTCCCAGCGTCCCGCTGCGGCATAGGCCGGGGGATGGGGCGGCACATATCCGCCCCGCGCGTGGTGGTGGACGATCCAGGCCGTTGCGAGGACTACACACCCGGTTTTGACGAGGGGGAGGTGTAGGTACAGTGCGAAGGGGGCGCCCTTGTTGCCCCCGGGCGCTCTCCATGCCGAGGACTGTCATCGTTGGAAGAGCGGATGGAGTGAGTCAGTGGTATTGACGTAGGGTGGGTGAGAATGGACGCACTCATGCAGTGAGGGGCAAACGAGGAGGACGGCGTGTAGGCCGGACACTAGCATCCGGTGATTCCTGCAATGACACTGATCGCTCCGAGGCACCCGGCGGGAGGCTGGCGGAAATTTAAATTTATTAGCGCATCGGATGAGGACGGAGGATGAGATGGCGCACTGGAGACGGTTTTCCCCTGCCCGTAGCCGGCACGCGGGAGGATAGGTCGTAGGTGTGAAGCCCAGATGAGCCGGAAGAACACCGAAGAACGAGATGGCAAAACCTAGCTTGAGGACTCGGGATCGCGCAACAAACTTATCCATGTCAATGGGACGCGGAGGCCCCAGATCCGAGCGGATGCAACGCAAATACAGCATGAGACGTGAGACACGGGCATCTCAGAGGCCGTGCACACAGGCGCCGCCGCAGACAGATGCCCATACATCCATCATGTCCCCCCCCAGGAAAGAAGGAATGCACTGGTGTGCGGCCCCGTAACGAGATGTTGGAAGAGCGCGAGCGCGTGGAAGAAGGATTCAAACGCAAGATGCGAGAAGCCAGCCGGCGCACTCGGAGACGCGCAGCGCAGCACGAGTTCCGCCAAAGAAAGATTGGGGTAATTTGGGAAGAATTGGTAGGGGAAGATAGTGGCTTCAGGATGCGACGAGGGCGACATGTTGGGAACACCAAAAGAGAAGTGCCAAGGACGCGAAATGAAGAAAGGCGTAAGAGGCGCAGAGAAGCCACTTGTAAAGACGCCCCAGTGTCCAGAAAACCCCAATTGGACACACCCCAGCGAGCTCCTTCGCCGTTACGTAAAGGGCCTCTTAGGCCTACTCTTCTGTACTCAAGAGGTGTCCGATTCGCTAGCCGAGCACACTATCAACAGCACGTGCTCGAAGAGCACCTTCCATATCAGGTTGTTGATATCACAAACATTGGTGTTCTCCCACACGGCGACCACGAGCTCCGACGTGTCCCGCTCGGCCTACGACGAGTCCACCGGTTCCCCGGTACCCATCTTACCTCATAGGGAGTAGCAGACATGTCTTGCTGCTGAAAACGACTTGACGACCCGCGTAACAGAGCCACCGTGAACTACCAACAAACCACCGATTCTGGCGTAAATACTGTCGATAATACCCCTTTGTCACACGTAAATGAACTCTGTACATCCCAATACCCCCAGAATGTTTTGTTTCAACTCTACTCTGCCTTTCCTGGCCCTCCGCCGCTATCGCATTCAGCTGGGACAATCACCGCGGATTCATGGACAGCAGTTAATGTTGGCGGCTTGAATCCCAAGGGGCTGAAGTGCCTGAACTGCTTCAAGGAATTCAAGAAAGGAGCAAGCCAAAAGAATTTGAGAGACCATATCATGTCGAATGCTTGCAAAGGTGTGTTCTCATTATGTACCACTGATAAATCTTGGTCGAGCTCATGCGATGTTGGTGGTACCCCCGACACCACGCACTACTGAGCAGACAGTTCCTTTGGCTCCGCCGCAACTGGCTCGTTCGGAGCGCTGCGCGGGAATACCGCTTGCGTGGGATCCCGCAACATTTTGGGAAAAGTCAGGAAGCTTGTTTATTAATTCTTACAACGCGGGAGGTTCCACAAAAATTCCCTTACATACTCAAACATCTATACAATGTATATAAATATTTCCAGAGAATTCTTCCCCATACATCGTGCATACAATCCGAATGGAATCCAACACCGGCGAGACATCCAAACGGAGACGGAGCCCGATATGGAAGGTGCTCTTCGAGCACGTGCTGTTGATAGTGTGCTCAGCTAGCGAATCGGACACCTCTTGTCTGTACTAGTAAAATAGGCCTAAGAGGGGTCGACGGCAGCGAAGGAAGAAGCTGAGAAGCCACGGCATCTCCCGGTCCTTCCCCATCGGGCCCTTGCTGGCGCTTGCCGCCTCCATCGCCGCTACCACAACCGTCCGCTCGACATCCAACCCTCGTGCTCGTCTGCATACCTCCACAGGGGCCCCCACCTATCGCCGCGCCTGACTCCGTGCTTTGTCGAGGACTCGGAGGAGGGCGAGACCCAAGCGAGACCCTCAACGAAAACACGATACTGGTGCTGATACTGGCGCTGCCCCGGGCTTGGCATGGCTCACGGGGGCATGGCCAGCGACGTCTTCTGGCTGTGAGACGCGGGAGGAATGATGTCTCCACTTGCTAGAGCTGGGCCTGCTACTGCTGCTGCAACGACGTGCCGCCCCCGCTCCGCTCAACATCTGCAAACGGCGCAAACAGCTCCCTTAATGCCATCCTGCAAATACTCCATCGTCAGACCCCTCCCCCGCGCCCGCAATAGACGCCGACAGGTCCCCTACGTGCAGTGTAATAGGTGGGTTCTGGCCCGCCGCAGCCTGTGCCCGTGTCTGACAACGACAATGCTGGCGACGCAAGCTGCGTCGAGCCCGTCCCGCTCCCGCTCCCGTGCCCAACGCGACAACTCCGGCGACGCAAGCTGCGGTGAGCTCAGTTATCGCTCCCACTCGCGCTCCCAGCGCCAGGGATTGTGACGGGTGCATTTCCCGGGAGTGCGACAGACGCATGCATCCCCAGCCGCTTCCTCCGCAATCGAGCCCCGCCTTTCCAGGGCCGGCGGCAGTGCTCCCGTCTCTCGTTCTTCTCGCCGAGCGTTCCTCACGGTGCCGGGAGGTGCGGGTGCCAGAACTGTGGGAGGTGCGAGTGCGGGTGCCGGCGCACAGGGGGGTCCCTGATTCCCCCGTCGCTCTGCATCTCCGGCTCGACCTCGACCGTGGCCTCACACCTGTGAGGCGGCTTTGATGGTGCAGCGGGGACAGCGACAGCGGCGGGCTCATCCTGACTCTGCAGCTTCGCGTTCTCTTCTGTGCTGCTGTGGCACGTACTGCTGCTCACGTACGACAATGGCGCACTCCAGCGACCACACCATTCTCCTTCTGCTGCTTCCACGTCAGGCATGGGCACCGCCTCCACGCTGTGCGCACCTCCCATGCTCCAGCTCTGTGCCTCGGGTGACGCCATCGCCAAATCAGCTATGCGCCCCCGTTTCTGGCGCTGCTTTCCCTCGGCACACCGCGCTAGGCGCATTCACGTGCGTACGTTCGAGGCAATGTCCCTCCGTGTGCACGCTCCCGCTGCCTTCGTGCTCCTCGCAGCACGACATCCTCCCACTTAGGTCGTTCTCCGCCCCGCTCCACCTCGGCACGCCATGTGCTCTGCGCCGCGGCCGTGCTCGGCGTGCCCGCGTCTGCGCTGGAGGACCCTGCACTCCTGTTGGAGTGCGCGCTCGCACAGGGCGACGTGATTCTCTTTGACGGGTGGCAGGTGCTGCATTTGCAAACACACCCTGCCTTACCATTACCATGATATGATCAAAAACACTCTCTACATACTGTAATAGAAATGGAATTACAATTTTTATGCCGCTGGAATAATTTGAGACAAGTCAAAAGTGAGGGAACAGTCATCTT